TTTCCTGTAAACTTAAAAACTGCTTTGCCCAGTGTATGTGGGTAAGGCATGCAGAGCGCTTGGGTGCCCCTGGGCCAGTTGGGGGGATCCAAGTGTAAGGCATTGGCAGGCTTCTTGATGGAGCCTGCGGCACCGTTAGTAGGATCTGCATCCCTTTAATGCCTTCTGAGAGTCCTGTTTGCTCCTCTCCCAGCCTCTTCCAGCCCCCAGTCAAGTAGCTCAGGATTAGATGCTCTGGGTGGGGCAAGAGAGAAATGAGCCCCTTTGGTAGCATCCCGCACAACTAGAGAAGCAGGTGCTCACTCACATGCTCTCCCTTTTCCCAGCAGGAGAAATCACAGGCTGACATCTCTCTTGGCCCTAAGCTGTGCTGCCTTGGGGAAGGAGTGACTTGGTTAAAGACAAGCTATTCCTCTTATCCACTCCAATGAATCCAAACTTGTATTTTTCCCCCTCCAACATAATATAAACGTTTAGGAGAAAACATAAGAGAAAATCTTAGTGATCTTGAGGTTGACAAGATTGTTTCAATACAACACAAAGAGCACAAAATTTTTTTTAATTTAATAAATTTGACTTTGTCCATACATACTTTGCATTGCTGGAAAAAGGTCTCCAGTAAAACATTGTGTGCATTGTCTGAAGTCAGAATGCCCAGTGAGGAGTGAAGCCAGGGGCTGGCAGGGATGTCCCCACCAGCCCAGGACCCTGAAAATCCCACTCTCACCCGTTCATTCACACACTGCCCTGGGGCAAACTCACTCCTGCCACCAGCATCCTCCAGTGCAATGGAGGGTGGAGTCCATGCTTGCATCCCCTACTTTCACGTCTGCTCTGCCAGGGCCTCCATTTGCTCATCTTTGGAATGGGTGGTGGTGTAAGTCAGGCAAGTATCTATGCCCTCGCACTCATGGTGTGACATTGGTGCAGCCGGGGCATTGCTTCCTCGGTGCAGGGTCACTCACCCTTGGCTGAGATGCTGGGTGCAGGAGATCCAAAGTCATGTAGATTTCCACATCCCCTGCCTGGAACCAGCTCAGTCCTGCCAAGCAACCCAACCAGGCTCCTGGTTTGAGTGTTGTGACCAGACCTCACTCCAAACAAAACCATGTCCCGTGTAAAGACCAAGCACATTCCTCTGTGGAGATGACAAGTGTGGACACAGCAGACACCAGACAATGGCAAGAGAGTTTGACTTTGTGATCTGTCTTGGACCAGGCCCTGGTTGTGCTCCCACCTCTCTTATTCCTGCCTCAGCCTGAAGCCTCCTTCCCCAGGAGGGATAGGGTCTGCCAAAGTCAGAGACAAAAGGACATCAAGAACAAAGGGTCAACTTGACTGAAATATTGGGCATGAGAGTTCTTATTGTGGTGATAAAAATGTTCTAAAATCACGTTAATGCTGGTTGTTGCACCACTCAGTAAATTTACTAAAATCATTGAATCATTCATTTGATAGGGGCAAATTTTGTATACATAAAATGTACCTAAATCAAGCTGTTTGAAAAAAGAGCCTGGCCATTGTTTACTGTGCTTGTCCTTCTCCCCCACCTCAGCCAGGGTCTGCCTAGTTGCCAGGCACTGGTTTGGTTCCAGGCAGAATGCTCTCGATGTTCTCTGAAGTCTGTTGTGACCAGCACTGTTCTGGACATGAGGCGACTCCGAAGTGGACTCTGGGCCATGGTGGGTGTACTGATATTTGTGATGCTCTGTCCTGTTGATCCTGGAGATGCAGAGCTAGTCACCAGCAGCACTTCCAGGGGACCTTAGATCTGGCCCAGGTCCCCAGCTCATTGCTGTGTGTGATGGCAGTTTTGATGGTCATGGTCGGGTTTATCACTATCAAGATCTGACTTCATTCAAATAGAGACAGATTGGACACTAGAGATTCTGTCCCTCTGGAGGAAAGACAATGGAGCCCCTTTAGGAGACCACAGTACCAGCAACAAGAAAATTGAAGGCCGTGAATGAAGACCTAGAAACAACTAACCCTTTTCTTGGATATAAAGTGGACATTCTAAAAACTATCAAAAAAGGACAAATCTCAAGATACAAAACAAGTTAAACTAATGGCTGACATTACCAGAAAAAAAATCAGTCTTTTTAAGGTATTGCAGAGGACATCAAAAATCAAGTAGCTGCTACTGTAACATCTTTCAAAATCCATCAGGAAATTGAAGAAATTCAGGGATCTCCAAAAGAGGCTTTGGAGAAAAATTCCTCATCTTCAAGGAAGTCTAATACTGTTTTCAAAAGAAGCTTAATGAGTGAACAAGAGAGTGAATACATTTATTATACAGAATAAAAGATTACAAAACTCTAAAAGAAAAGTCAGATCAAGCATCTAGGTGAACATTGCAGAAGATGAGGGATTGGGCTGCTGCTCCTGGAGAAGACACATGGGTCACCAGCGGGAGCTTGGAATCGAATGTAACAAATTCACCAGAAAACAGAGACCATGTGGAAGATAAACCAAAGAGAGTTTTGAAGACAATGGTTGATGCGGCTGAGTTAAATACTTATTTAAAAACTCTTGAAGAAAAAAGAAACCAATTGCATACTAACTTAACTGAAGAATATGAAATAATTGATGTCTTTAAATATCATATGAAACATCTCCAAACTGGGAGAGCTTTATGCAGTCAGAAAAAAGTGAGATAGGGAGACACCACAGCTCCAGGGGAACCTTCAAGTCCTCCTCGAACTGTATCAGTAAAAAAACAATTTTCACCAGATACCTGATTTAGAGGGAATGTACCCTGCAAAGGTGCAAGAGAATCCTTCAAAAGCAGATGACAAGACCAGCCATTAATGCAAAGAGCTGGACACCTACAAAATACAAGCCAAAATTCTTTCAGGAAAATTCGAAAGAATAGTGTGTTATTATTGAAGCCTATTTAGAGAGGAGCTCCTTACAATGAGTTGAGAGCTCTGTCGGCTGAGAAACACTTCCATAGCTTAAGAAAAGAAAATGCATAGCCGAGACAAAAAAAAAATTGAGGAAGAATGTAAGGTTTCAAAAAATATACTTATGTCCCTGATGTTGCAAATAGGACATTTGGCATAAGGCCAGAAAAGACGACCAGGACATCCTCTGGACGTCCAGATGCCCAAAGAAGTAGCACCAGGCTGTGGCTGGTTAGAGATTCAAGGTCCCTCCAAGGATCAGGAGCCCAAGGGAAAGATCCCTCCAGCAGGTCAACTCCATCCTGACACAGCAGATTTTTCTCAAGATAGAGAGAGCATGTCCTGGTGCTCCTGGTGGACAGCAGCTTGGGATTTTCTTTTGATTCAACAAGTCACAGGATCAGAATTCCATTGGCCCAGGCCTTGGCCCTCCACTTTGCCCCTTGTCAGACTTCAGATGTTTTCAGAGAAGCTTGAGAGGGCAGCCCTGAGAAGAGGACTCTCTGGTCTTCCCTCTTATGCCAGAAATTCAGAAGACATTCCCTAGGAATCTTCTCCACAAAGGGGCTTCACTGGCCCCATACTTCCTCTCCACCCTTCATTAGCCACAGGAAATGCCTCTGCACCAAAGCCTGTCCACACAGCCTGAAAACAGAAGTGAGTCACCTCTGAGTTGACCTCACCTTCCATTGAAGCTACAACTATAGAACCAGAACCATAGAAAGATGCTCTTTTTCTCTCCACTAAAACAATTTTCATTTTTTCTATTTTAGTTTTACTGCTGTTAAGTGATAATGTAATATCCAAAATGAAAACCACGTGGATTTTACTTCCTAGATAGTGTTCTATACCTCTAGATATTTCAATGTGACACTAAATTAATTTCTCCCATTTTACTCTATTTGCAAGCAGCATAATTACAGTTTTTTGTCGTTTTTAACAAGTCTTCTAAAATAATCCAGGAATCCAGCAAATATGTTACTTTGACTTTCTCCTAAAATAATTTTGATGCTTTGTTCTCTATTGGTTTTATTGCCATTATATAAAGTGATTACACAACAACTCACAAGGACATCTGATAGGATTACAATGTTGACAATTGTGGATTATTTTGTTCCTGATGTAAATGTGAATCAGATTCAACCCTGAGGCCACAGCTGCCTCATTGTCCTCAACCTAAGCTCCTTGGGGCATTGACTGGGAGGCAACCTTAACCTTGACTCTGAAGGGTGCCCCCCGGGGAGCCCTAACTGGGTTCACAGGTGAAACCCGGCCACTCTTCACCCAGGGACTGCCCCAGACAAAATTGTGAAGGTGATAAAGTTCCTTCGGGACCCCTGACTCCCTTTCCTGTCCCTGTCCTGTGTGCTGTACCACTCTGCCTCATTATAAGCCTGGATTTGGGGTTGGAAAGGACCTCAGAGGCCAGCAGTCAATTCTCACCCCTCCCTCCCTGAACGGGCTCAATTTTACAACTGCAAAGTCAATGGAAAAATTAAAAACCCTAAATGAGACCATGAGGCCACAGTGGCAAAGCCCTTTAATGCCTCCAAATCACACTGAGACCCAAATCCATGCTCCCATAACCCCAAGGTGGTGTATGTCCTGGTCCAGGCCTGTACATGCCCAAACCCCTCCTATACAGCCACTGACCATCCTTCTGTTCAGTTAGCATCTCAAGCTCATTTGTGTCATTTTCTCTGCCAGGAACACCTTTTTCTGGGTAGGTGGGTGCTGACTCCTTCATTTAGATACCAACTCTGATCCTGTCTTCTTAAAGTACCCTTTACTGACCACTGTAGCTTAGTGACGGCACTTCCTCTGTTGGCGCCACTCACGTAAACAGTAATCTTTACTATACATATTAAAGCTTTTGTTCTTATTATCTTTAAACTAAATCAGGGTATAGAGCATATGATCTCTGATGCATATGCAGTCTTATGATTTTTTTTTTTTTGAGGAAGATTAGCCCTGAGCTAACTACTACCAATCCTCCTCATTTTGCTGAGGAAGACTGGCCCTGAGCTAACATCCATGCCCATCTTCCTCTACTTTATACGTGGGATGCCTACCACAGCATGGCTTTTTGCCAAGTGGTGCCATGTCCGCACCCGGGATCCAAACCAGCGAACCCTGGGCCTCCGAGAAGTGGAACCTGCAAACTTAACCACTGTGCCACGGGGCAGGCCCGCCAGTCTCTTGAAAACGGGAACAATGGCCTCAAGGGAGGGAAAACAAAGATTATTAGGAACTAAGACCAGATGTCTGGCCCACCCAGAGACCAGATGTCTGCCCTCCTGGAGAGCAGCCCCCATATAAATGTCCTGTAGTCTTTGTTCTGGAAGATGGGCTTTAAGGACACTAGTCCACCGTCTGCCATCTTTGCTGGCAAAAATGAATAAACCCTTTCCATTCCATCGACCTGCCTCCTGACTTTTTGGCTAATCTTGCATCAAGCAGAACAAGCCCATTGTTTGGTAACACCTCTATCCCTCTCCGGTCCTTTGCCTTACTTATTGCCTCATAGCACTCATCCCTTCTGAGATCATCTTACTTCCACATTCATTCACATATATTTCTGCATCGCCCTCTGCACTGTAAGGGCCAATAAGGCAAAGAGATTTTCTCATTTCCACTGAGCCTTCTCTCCTGTCTAGCACATGACAGGTACTCATTAAGGATCTGGCACATTGAGCAAGAAATGAACAAATGAATCCAGTGGGAAGACTCCCTGAGACCTCAGACCTGCCCAAATATTAGAGTAAGTCTATGCTGGGCCTCCCAGCACAGGACCCACACTCCTGTGGGTGCCTCCTTGTGGCCTTCCATGGGACCCCGCTGCTCCCACTGCCTGAATGTTCCCTGAGGAATACAGGTATTCTCCTAGAAACTGCTCCTCCCTTGTGTGTGGGCTTCAAACCAAAAACTCCACATTACTGTGGTTCATGTAGAGGGCAGAGCAAGCCCAAGGTTGTGGGGAAAGTAGGCAGTGTTAAGGACAGAGACATTGTGGGGTGGCTACTGCCTCCTGTACTGCAGGGTTGAGCAGGAAAGAGTTCAGGAGCTTTTGTGGTAAAGGAAAAGCCACTGGATCTCAGGGGCCTAGATTATTTCCTTGGTTTGGACAGTCCCTAGCAAGAAAGGACTTGCAAGCACTTGATACTCAGCTCCTCCCTAGGAGCCATGACTAATATTTGCAAGGCAAGGAACTCACAAAGCACAAACCTTCACAGGAACTCCACACTATCTTCTACTTCATCCTCCCAAAACCCCCCGCATGGCAACCCTCTAGTGCAAGGGTTACATGCAGACATGAGGAAAGTGAGATTCAAATCAGCTCCAAATTACAAAATACTGAGAGGGAGTTGTCAGCTCAGGCTCTGAAGCCAGACTGCCTGGTGACTAGGCTCACCTCTGCACTTTCCTAGTTGGGTACCTTTGGTCACATTAGTTAGACCTGCTCCCTCGAATTCCTCAACTCTAACATAAAGTTGTGCAAGTTAAATGAATTTATGTAAAACTCTTAGCACATGGTAAAATAAGTTGCTATTTTTATCATCACACTGCTATTTTTATCATCACACAATTACTGACATAATTGGCATTGAATCTGGGACATCCACCCCCCCAATCCCATTCATTTTCCACTCTCTGAAAGCTGTTTTGCCTCTGTTTAAGCTTTTATTGGCTGGCAGACTGCATCAAAATGTTCAGGGTGGGAGGACCTCTTCTGGAGGGAAATGGTCATCCCCGCAGGAGGAGGGCCCCAGCGATTGTGAATATGCATGTGCTTGGGCCAGGTGTGTGCAGGCTGAAGCACATGAGCACAACTTGCCAGAGGCAGAGCCGAACATCAGTGGCTACAGATCAGCCTTGAGTACGGATCCCAAGAACAGCCCCTGGAGCTGAGGGAAACCAAAGGTACAGGGGGCCATTTCAGGCTCACTGTGAGTGGGTAAGAAATGACACAACATAATCAGCAAATGCAATCCTAATTAGAACCACGGGGGCCAGGAAGGGGATCTTTCTGGGAGTAGGCAAAACATTTTGGAGATAACCATGGGGATAAATGTGAGAGGATCATAAAGCAATATTGGAAATAAACTTGTAAGTGCTTCTCTGCAGTAGTAACAACTGAAACCCAGTGAATGCGTTCTCTGCCCTGCTCTGAGAATTCACATTCACTAATTCATGTCACCATCTGGTACTGCCATCATTTAAGAATGAGCCTCTTTTTAAGTCCAGAGTGTGGCAATGTTTTTGCCTCACTCCTGGCCATTGGTGACCTGCAGAACTTTACAAAGACCACTCACTGCTCCATGTGGGAACTTGGTAGGATTGTAATTCTTAGACAATGCTCTATAACTGTAGATTATTTCATTGTGACTCTTATATGTGCTTCCACGTTATTCTATTTGTAGGGTGTAATGACAGTATTTTATGGCTACTAACAAGTCCACTGAAGTAATCAGAAACACAGAATTCTCTTTTTTCCAAAATGATTTAGATTTTTTTCTCTTCTGCTTTAATTGCTAGTATTTAAGGAAGGACAGTATTTTGTTTAATTCTGTTTAACAAGGCCCCATCACATGAACACTAAGAAGGAATTTTACATGAGCGGACTCATAACTAGAAAGATTTGGAACACAAAGTGTATTTCGGTGTGACAAAGCTAAGTTACTTTAGTTGTAACACTAATATGTTTAACAAAATCAATTTTTGATTTAACAAAAAGTAGGTTGTGAAACATTTTGTATGGCCAAGCATCCCTTTCTTCAGTATGAAACCGTGCCCACAAGGCTAAAGTAAGAAACAAATTAACCAAAGTTTCTGAGCTTGTCTTGCAGAATAACAAGGATACTGCAGATAAGGAAACAACTTGCTGACGACCTCCTTTGCCCAAACATCGTGTAGGTACATTGAGGGACCAGAATGACTGATCAGTGAACTTTGGACATCCCAGGCCAAAGATCCACCACATGTAACACACAGACCTCCCCAGATTTATACATGTGACCCACGAAAAGACATAAAGGACAGTCACGCCTGCTCAGAGGACTCCTGAAGCTTCCTCTTGCCTTTTCCTAGCCCCCAACACCCTCCTACTCCCTACTCCCCAGTAAATATCCCACACAAAAGCCGCTCAGGGAGACAGGGTTGAGAGCTTTGCCTCCTGTCTCCTTGCTTGTCTGCCCTGCAATAAAGTCCTTTCTTTCTGCAAAAGACCTTTGCCTCGGCATCTGGTTCTTCTGTAGCACATCAGGAAAACAAACCTGCCTGTGGTCGGTAACAAGTATTCATCATGTACTAATTTGTATTAATGGCTCCAAAAAGATCTGCCCCTGTGAATTCTGCCACCCTTCATCCTCAGAATAGAGCTCAAGGCTCGGATTAGCAGCTCAGAGTGGGAGTTTTCCAACAGAGGCAACCCGGTTTCCCACACTTACAAGACAATGTTCTCCACCACCCCCCCCCCCCCACCATCACCCTGATTAACAACTCCCAGACTCAGCCTTTCAAGGAATATTTTTCAGTTAAGCTTGGTGTAGAAGAAACAGAGTCATCAGAATGTATAAGGGGGACACTGAACTCAGATTTAATCCTAAGGCTACAAGCTTTTCACCCTCTTCAAGCTAAACTCCCTGGGACAATCCTTAAGACACAGCCTTAATCTTAACTCTGAAAGATGCCTCAGGGGGACCAAGTCCACAGGTCAAACCCAGCACTCTTCAGCCAGGCCAGCCCACAGCAAGAATATGACTGTAACAAAGATTTTTCTCAGGACCCTAATCCCCTTCTCTGTTCTGTGTTCTTCATCTCCTGTTCCCATCACAAGACTGGACTTGGGGTTGGAAAGGACCTCAGAGGCCAAGCCGTCAACCTTTGCCCCTCCTGGGTTGCCACCTCCATCCTCAACCATTGCCTGGCCAACCCAGTGACAGTTAGAACTGATGTCCATGGACAGTTTAGAACTCTGCCTTCCATTGGGGAAGGCCTTCTTAATGTTCCATTAATATATCAAGGTCCTTTTTTTCTCAGAGCCTAGCACTGGCTATTTCCTCTGCCAAGAATGCCTTTCCCCAGACAGGTGGGTGGCTGCCTCCTTCCTTAAGATACCAACTCTGCCCCTGTCTTCTTAAAGTGCCCTTTCCTGACCACAGCAGGCGTACTGCATCCCTTTCTATTCCTTCACCCTCTTTATGGTCTCATAGAACTCATTCTCTCTGAAATCATTTCATTTCCATGTTTGTTGCCTGTGTATCATCTGCATTTCCCTCTGAATTGTAGAAGGTTGTTAAGAGTTTATCTTATTCCCACTGAGCCCTCTCTCTTGTCTAGCACATGACAGACATTCATTAAGGATTTGGGAAACTGAGCAAGAAATGAACAAGTGAATCCAGTGAGAAGACCTCAGACCTCAGACCTGTCTAAACATCAGAGTAACGCCATTCTGTGCCTACCAGTGCAAGACTCAACTGTGGGTGCACCTTGGAGCCTTACCTGGGACCCTATCATTCCCCACTGCCCATATTCCCCTGAGCACCCTTGCTTTGTTATAAAGACTACTCCACCCTCCTGCATGCGTGATGGGCTGGTCCCTTTGAGGTCAACCCCTACCAGGCAGTCCTATGACTCCACATTAATGTGGGTGGTAGAGATGACTGGGAATCCCAAGGTTGTGGGAAAAGAGGAAGGAGATGCTGAGGAAAGATACATAGTAGAGTGGCCACTGGACTCTGGAACCACAGGTGAGCAGCAAAGAGCTTGGGTTCTTTTGTGGTAAAGGACAAGCCACTGGACCTCAGGGACTCAGGTCATTTGACTGGCTTGGGTAGTCCTAGCGAGAAGGCAGGAAAGTGTAAGGATTATCAGGTCTTCCCTGGGTGTACTAACTAATGTTTGTGGGCACCCAACTCACAAAGCACAGAGTGCCATATTGCCCCCACACCATGTTTTTGTTTATCCCATTAAACCCCGCTTTGGCTATTCTCAAGGGAAAGGGATTGCATGCAGAGGTGAGGAACTGAGGTTCAAACAAGCTACAAATCACACAGTATTCACAGGTGGTTGACAGCTCTAGTCTGTCAACTAGTCTCACCACTGCACCTTCCTGCTTGAGCACTTCGAACATAGATGAGGGTTGTTGTGCAGGTTAAATGAGAGGAATTTATGTAAAACTCCTGGCACATTTAAACCCTCCATGTAAGCTGCTCTTTTTATCATCCCAAACTAAGCTAATGACATACCTGGCACTGAATCTGGGAACTCTACTCCTAAATCCCGTTCACTTCCCACTCTCTGAAAAACCGTTTGCCTGTGTTTAAACTGTGTTTGCCTTGTAGACTGCTTCACAGTGCTGAGAGTATGAGGATCTTTCCTGGAGGGAAATGGTAAGCATCATTCCTTCAGGAGGAGGGAACAGTGATTGCGAGCAAGCATTAGCTGGGGCCAGGTACGTGCAAGCTGGAAGCATATGAGCACATCTTTCAGGGACAGATTCAACCGTCAATGGGCACATGGTAGGAGAGGGGTTCCGCAGAAAGCTTTGAGTGCCAGATGGCAAGAACTGCCCCTGGGCTGAGGGAAATCAAGAGTGGGGGGCATTTTCCAGCTTACTGTGAATGGTGGAGAAATGCTGAGAAAGTTACTAACACAAAGGATCCCAGTTAGACCCCAAGAAGATACTTTCCGTACATTGACAAAAGATTTTGGAGCCTACTATTGAAATAGATGTGAGTGAGTACCTTAGGTAATATCACAATAAAGAACCATTTAGGAGCTTCTCTGAAATATGACAGATAAATCTCAGTGACTGATTCCTCCATAACTGCCCTGCTGTGAGCACTCACATTCACTAGTTTGTGTCACCATCTGGTATCACCAACATTGGAGTGCGAGTCTCTTTTCAAGTTCAAGTTTCTGCCTCACTCCTGGTCATTGGTGACCTGCAGAGCTTTACACAAACAGACCACTCATTGCTCCATGTGGGAACTTGGTGGGATTGTAATTCTTAGATTGTGCTCTAAAACTGTAGATTATTCAATGTGACTCTCAAAATTAAGTGTCTCCGTGTTATTCTGTTTGTAGGTGGTATAATGATAGTAACTTTGTTCTCATTAACAAGGTCACTAACATAATCAGAAACACAGCAAGAATTTTGCCTTTCTTCTGAAATAATTTTGATTTCTTTCTCTTTGCTTTCCTGCTATCATCTAAGTGATTGCACAATATTCCAAATGGAGAATTAATGGGAGTATAATATCTAGGATAGTGTTTTATAAATGTTCATTATACAAAATATGAATTATACTAGTAATTTGTTTCCATATTATCTGACTTCTAGATAGTACAGAGAGAATTCTTTTTGTCATTACTGTTTCATCCAGAAACAGGAATATTTTTTCCTCTCCTTTGAAGTAATTTTGGACTTTCTTGCAGTTGGTCGCACTGCTGTTGCTAAGTAATTATACATTTGCTCAAATTTTGCTCTAATTGAAGCTCAATAGAAGAATAATTTCTACAATAGTGCTTCATAAATGGATCCCCTTTGGAAGTAAATTTGGTGAGTGCCTTGTTTCCTTCTCCTCTTTTTCTAGACTGTGTAAGGACAGTATTTCAGTGATGGATATTTATTAAGGTCCCACAACTAGTGAGCGTTTTATCGTGAGTGCTCTTACAACAAGAGAGGTTTGAACACAAAGTTTACTTCTGTGCCAATAGCCGAATTGACTCTAGTTATAAGACTAATTTAATTAAGTTATTTTTGGTTCAAAAAGAAAGTAGTCTGTGAAAACTTTTCTAGGCCAAGCATTGCTTCCCCCAAAGTTCATAACATATTTAGTGCGTAAACAGCTCTGAGGCCGCCTGCCCCTGTGGATTCGGCCACCTTCATGCTTCAGATTAAAAATCCAGCTCTACACAAAGATTACCAATATAGACTGAGAGTTTTCCTCCAGAGGAAACCCAGTTGTGCAAATTTTTCCCAAGGCAGCCCTCCAGGCCCCCACCCCTTGCTGATCCACTATAAACCTGATTAACATCTCTCAGTACCAGCCTCTCAGGATGCACACTTTAGTGAATGGAAATATAGGTGAAATGGAGTCATTGGGATGCATGAGAGGGAATCTGAACTCAGATTTAACCCTAAGGTCAAAAAATGCCTTACTCTCCTCAGGCTAAAACTCTATACCCAGCACTCCTTTGCCAGGGCCAACTCAAGGCAAAATTATGATGGTGAAACTATTTTCTTAGGACCACAGATTCCCTCTTCTGTTCCAATGTCCTTCCCCTCTCCCTCCCCATCACAAGTCTTGTGAGGAAATGGAAAGGGCTTCAGCCAAGCTATCAACCCTCCCCCACTCCCAGGTTGCCTTCTCCATCCTCAGGCACTGATTGGCCAACCCAGTGACAGTTAGAGCTGAGACAGTTTAGAATTCTGTCTTCCAGGACAGAGCAAGGACATTTGGCCCAGGAGGCACAAGGCCCCTGTTAGGGTCTAGCCTGCCACAACTGGACCTTGGGAACACCTACCTCTCCCAGGATCACTTCCCCCTCACTACTGCAGGACTGCAGTGAGACTTAAACAAGGTTGTGGGCATGCAGCTGTCCTTCAATGCCCACAGCACTGTCAGTGCACAGGTCATAGTGAGGCACAGGCAGAGACAACAATCGGCACCAGCTGGGCTACAACAGGCTACCTTCCTAAGGACCCCGAGGTCCTTGAGAATGGCTGCCTCTGAATGAGGTGGGGTCTGGGAGTAAATGTATTCTGTGGCTCAAACTAATGGAATGCAGACTCCTTCCCAGTCTGGTGAAGAAGGGCATTAAAGCAGGCAGTAGTGCATGTCTCTGACCTTTGGCACAGGTGAATGAGACAACTATTGATTCTTCACAAAAAATTCCCAAAGTGTCTCTTACTCAGTTTATCAGTTTCTGAAGACAAATACACGGTTGTTATTTGCGGGGAAATAGTAGCCCAGAGAAAGTACCCTCCCCTCACAGCCAAAGCAGTTTTGTGAGTTTTTAGTTGTATCATGACATTTTCCCTGATCACATGACTAAGGCTTTCCTTTGATCACATTGAATTGTAAATGCTTTGGAGCTTGGCAGATACGTCCCCAATTAACCCAAGTATATAGGGTCTCCATCGGCTGATGTATTTTCATCCTAGGTGATGCTCTAGAACTTTCTACCTGGAGGCTTCTTGATACAGCCTGCAACTAAACAGATTGCCCATGTAGGCTGGGCCTGATCCTTTGCACCCCGACATGACCAAGATGAGACCTGACTCCTGGACACATCACTGAGTATTGATTTACCTGAAATGTCCTTCAACATCGAATGTGTCTGAGTGAGCTAATGGTGTCCAGGACAAGCCCAACACAGGTCTAGGCAAATATTTAACCTCCAGCAAAGATCTGTTTCTCAGCACACCATTCTGGACTCTGTGTCCACAAATCTTTTTTTATCCTATTTGCTATTACATCTACTTTAGTTTTTAGTTCCCTTGATGTAGTAGGCATAAGTTTATGAACTTTAATACAACGTTGAATCTAACTTAGGGATGTCTTAGGATTGGATTTTTATGGGGAAAGGCATGTAGCAAATGAATCTACATTCACTAGTAAATCGAAAGCTATTCAGCATGATTTCATGGATTGTTTTTAAAAAACAAAAATAATCTTTTTTCTGTCAAAGAATTGCATTAACCAAGGAGCTTTCAAACAAACTATGGAATTTGAGTTTCAGGAGATAGGAGCATTCTCTTTAATAACAATTTTGTACTTCCTCAGTGGACTGGGAGATGCATGAATAATTAAGAAAAACAAAATTAGAAGAGAGGAGAGATTTTAGAATTGAGGCCTGATTATTTGAATTATTCATTTTATATTCCTTCCAATTGATAGAATATTTAGGACACTTGAGGCTTCAGAAAGGCAAGTAATGTTTTTCTTAGATAAAATAACAGGAAAAATATTACCAGGATATATAAGCATATAAATGTTCCATAAGTATGCATGTATACTTATTCATATATATAGTATGTTATGTTCTAAGGAATAGGAAGAAAGTGCTATACTAGATTATTTCTCAGCAATGGACAATGAAATGTGTGCTATGATAGATGCAAGGTTAGGGGCAGGAAGATGTGACATGACACAAAAGTTGGTGGTAAAGGAAATCTTAAGGTCTGAATATCATTATGAAGATTCTGGCTACTTATGTCAAGTTTTCTAGGTTTTAGCCTAATATCCAGGGTACCACATTGTCTCCCAGGTCATTGACATCCCAGCCATTGCAGCCTAACCAATTTATTCATGGGGAAATGTTACTAGTAAGTCATGATCATATGCATATGAATAGATCTGAAAAGAATCCCAGGATTGAATGAGAAGAAATATATTTCATATGTACTCATTTCCATTGTATTTAGTAAGGTTTATATTCTTGAGAATTTCACATTTTGTTTTGAACTTCTTGATTTGAATATTAGAAATAAAATGTAATTGACATTCAAAGCTACTTACATTTCTTCCTGCAGCACCCAGAGAGCAAAAGTCCTCAGCTTTTAGAACAGCAGGATTCAGTGATAAGTTGATTTTTATCAAGTCTGCGAATCAAGAAAAAAGCAGCATGAAGATCTTAGAAAAACAAAATGATGTTAAAGCATCTAAAATAGAAAGGTAACTTTAAGTGATAAAATAATTTTAATGATAGAATAATTAACAAAAATATTAAAAATTAATCATAATTGAGTGTTCTAATGGTGAACATATCATAAATCCCAATTTTATTATTTATATCATCTGAACTCATATTTCTGATATTAGACTATGAAATAATCATTAATAAAACAATTCTATTTTATCGATATAATAATTATGTGGTACTATTAAAATATTGATTAATAGAAATTTAATTTTGAATAAAAATATTTTTATTACTAATATTATATTAGTGATTGATAAAATATTATATTTTCATATTTTAAGACAATACTTTCCAAATTTATAATTAATATTTATATAGAATCATATGCGATATCTTTTGGCCAATAAATAAAGTGATATTCCTTATATTAATGTCACTTTCTGTCTGACTGAAAAAAGAAAGTGAATACTTGGAAATGAATGAATGCTTTTGAGCTATGTTTTAATTTCCTTTCATTTTCAACATAATCAGATCGTATTATTCATTCTATGTTTCTGAAATTTCCAATGTTTGTTAATATCCTCATTTGAAAAATTAAAGTTATTCACAAAATTAAATGCATACTTTAAAATATTTTCTTCTGGTCAAAGATACTTTACATAAATATTCAAGTTATAGTCAACTAGACTTTTAATCTAAAGTGTGTAGTCTGTCAATATATATATTGACAAGTGTTACTATCAATGGCGTTAAATTTCACAATAGTGTGTGACTCTAATTTACACTTCCATTTTAAACAATTTTGCAAAGTTGTTTTTGGAAAGTTTCCTCTGCACATCCACATATTCAGGTGATGGAACATTTCATGACCCTTCCATTATACTATCTTTTTACGTTATTCTCTTTTTCATAACAGCTTTATTGAGATATAATTTATTTACCCTAAAATTTATCCTTGTAGGGTGTGCCTCTGCAATCCAGTGGTTTCTAGTATATTCAAAGAGTCGTGCAATCATCAACATTAGCTAACTTTAGAAAATTTTCATCATCTCTAAAGAGAAATCCCTTATCAATTAGCAATCAGCCCCCATTCTCCCTCCTCCCAGTCCCTGGAAACTACTAACCTACTCCATTTCTATAGATATATCTATTCTGGACATTTCATGTGAATGAATCAGACAATATATGGCCTTTTGTGTCTGGCTCCTTTCACTCAGCATAATGTTTTCGAGCTTCATCCATGTATAGCATGTATTTCATTCATTTATATGTCTGAATAATATTCCATTGTATAGATACACTACATTTTATTTATCCATTCATCAGTTGATTGAGGTCTCCTACATTCAGTAATTACCCAAATCTTTCCTTGTCATTCTTCTCCTTAAGTAAAGAGCTTGAGAATAAAATCTGGGAAAGAAAGAAAGCATGCCCTCCTAGGGGAGAAAAAAGCCCTCAGATCCCAAAAAGGAATGGGCAAGACTTGTTTGAGGAAGATGCCCTGTAAACCCATAAGGAAATTTGTCTCTAAGAGAGTCAGCTCACTGTGCACAGGTGAGAATGACTCAATAGCCAACCTGGTGCCAAAAGTTTATCAAAGGAATATGAGTGCACACACACACACACACACACACGTGCACACACGCTCCTGTTGGACCCAGTGTGCAGAGTGTCATTTTATTCTGTTAAATCATGAATGATTTAAATATTTATTTTCAGGGTAAGAGCCAAAATACTTTTTTTCCTGAATTGAAGTACTTTTTCAGTGCTATGAATATCATATGCAAAATGCTTTCCATGATAGAAATTTCTATTTCACATCAGTTTCCCTACCTCTTTGGAATATTCTCAGATGTGCTATAGGACAGGCACTGAGAACCACGAATGTTGGGACCCTGTTCAGTCTTTGCCTCTTCCTTGCCCTCTCCATGTTGGCATCTGGCAGTGAGGGAGGCTCAGCACTTCCCAGCCCTAAGCCCTGTGGGGCTGACATTTAAGTGTTTTCTAGGAGTGAGATGGCTGATGTGAGAGAGGGAGAGGGTGGCAATAGATGGAAGAAAGTTGGGGAGAAGGTAGAAAAATGACATCTGTTCTGATGAAGGAGGAGAAGTAAAGAGGGGTCAGACACTAGGAGGGAATGGAGAGGAGGTGGTTCTCAGGAGAATGGCCTAGGGCTCTCTGGCTGCCTAGACACTGGTTCCTCCCTTTGCAGAAGGTCCTGGATGCCACCAGCCCAGGCTCCCTTCCTCTCCCAGTCAGGTTCATCATGGCTCCATTATTTTTTGACAACGCTTTTCTTTCCCTTCTCTCTTTACCTTAGACCCGTATTTGAGAGTGGACAAGACAAGGGACCCAGCAGACGTGCTGCAATTCTCCAGCTCACTTCCTGCCCTGACTTCTCAATGAAATGTATGAGGAAGAGTGAAGTCATGCCTGGTATCCAGGAGCTGGCCTAGCACCCTAGAACATAAGCATTTTTACAGACTATCAACATCACACAAGTCTACTCTATGACCATGATGGATCAAGACACAAAAAGATCACTTTCTGATCCTGTCTGAACACAGACAAATTGAACATTGTCTATACCACAAAATACCAACCATCCTCTCTCCTGACCAATATGAGGGACTGCTGCTTCTTTACAATTACAGCTCTAGCCTTGCTCAAATTTTCCTCCCTACAGATAAGATTTATTAAAATACCAATCATAGAATTATACCTGTTTCATGACTGTACACAATCCAGAGAAAATGTCTGTTTCCATGAACTCAACCCAAAGTCAGCTAGTATAAGTGGAAATCCTATAATAAGGCCTTTACACAAGGGCAACTGCCAAACCATAGAGGGTTTGGGGGATCAGCAAGGAATCCAGCAGCAAGACTGGGAACAATGTTGGTGGTGGCCCTTCAAAAGGGTCAGAACAAATCCCTTCACCCACTGCAGACTGATGGGGCTAGCAGGAAAACTGGCTGGGAAGGTGCCCTCCCCGTCTACCTCTCCTTCTGCAGGGGCTGGACCCTGCAGGCTACTTGTCCTCATTACAGGACTTGTGGTTAGACTCCACTTTCCTTGTCCATCTAAGGTTTGTTTGTCTATAGTACCCATACAGGTAAGTTACGGCAGTAGGTGGAGCTACTCTTACTCAGAAAGTCCAAGCTACTCCTGGATTATGTCACTGCTGCCACCAGCCCCATCCCATACTACTGAGGGAAGTGATGTCCAGCTTTGTGACACTCTCCTGTCCTGCCTCATGAGCCAAAGTCCAACATAGAAGAGCTCTGGACAGATGGTGGGTGGCAGATGAGCAGGGAACCCAGCAGGGCAGCAGTCTCAGAGCCTAGAACAAGCTGTCCTTCATCAGTCACCTGCAGGACAGTGTGTCCAGGCAAACCTTCCTGGCCTGCTAAGAGCCATCCTTGGACTCAGGGCTGCTGCTGCTGCCTTGGCTTCCGGGACATTTGTCTGCCTCTGTGTGGCAGAGGATAGCATCATGAGAACATGAGCAACGTAGGGAGATGCTGGTGACTGGAACTGCCTCAAAACCTGTGCATCCTTGGCTGCCCCTGCTTTCTGAGGCCTTCAAAACATAGCATACTGGATAGTCTTTTAGTCACATGCACATGTCCTGAGTCCTAGGCCCCTTCTGCTTCCATGTCAGGGGTGTCTTTGGTTTACCACTGAGCACTGTATTGTACTTCCTAGGGCAGAAGTTGACAGCCAGAGGGGAAACCCGAGGGATGTAGTAGATATGCAGGGGTAGCCCCTCCAGGAAGGAGCTTAGCACAGGGATCACCAGATTATTGCACATGCTGGCACCTGGCATCCACCCAAGCTGAACTGTGGGTACTGAGGAAGTGGCCAGGGGGCTCTGAAGTCTTCTTTCCACAGGCTCTTGCGGAGTATATGGGTGGTGGTCTGGTTGCTGGGTCTCAGGTTCAGGCTGGACAGTCAGTGCCTCTGGCCATTTTCACTGCTCCTAAGGCCTCCCTCCAGTAAACAAGTCTGTTTGAGTCTGTTGTCATTGAATATAGCCTTGATGGCCTCCCATCTGTGGCTTTGTTCATTCATAGTGATTATCTCTGGATTGAGGTGAAATTGGCACCTAATTTGCAATAGGATTAGAAGTCAGAATTCAAACTTGTTCAGTGAGAACTATGTACTGTGGCAGCAGTTCTTCGTGCATTTGGCTCCAGCTCAAGGCTATAAAGCCACAACTGAGAGGCCATCTTGAACACGCACACAATGGCGCTGGATCTGCAACCGCCCCGGCACATCCTGCACACACGAGATGTCCCTGTGGTTCTTGACCAGAGCGCTGCGGATCTCTGCCCAGCACAGTCTATCCCAGCCATCCATGACCTGTTCACCAGGAACATGCCCCACAGCACCACCTGTCCCACTTGGTTGGGCCTGAGGAGGGCTGCAACCTCTGCTCATAGTTTGGGGAGGGTCTTCCTTCTTACGTGGCCCCCTACTCAGGGTTAAGACCCTCCAGGCTATAGCTCCTGTCACACAAGAGCAGATGAGGGAGTAAAGTGAGGATTAGAGAAATTAAATGAAATAGGGTCATACAACAAATATGTGATCAAGTAATGACGAACATCTTCTTGTTTTACTTGTGGATATCAATGCACATAAGAATTATGAGCATATAAGAAACAGAAGTGTGAGATATCAGAATGTACATCATTAATTCACCCTGGTGGGGCAGCTGAGTAAAGTAACAGTTGTAGGAACAATGCCTTGTATTGGTGGGACAACTGGGAGCCTCTTCTGTAGTACAGAGAGAGTCTCTTAGTGAACAAGAGTGGGAAGATTACAAATGAGCGGCAGATTCTGAAGATCATTGGTTGTAGCTCTGGGAAAGTACAATGCACAACCTCTGCAATCATACGTGCAGCCCTGGGAAAGATAGCCTTAATTTTTCACATGCTTTACCCACTGTCAGAAGAAAGTTTGTCTTAACATCCCCTTTGTCCCATCTACTACTAGGATTGGAGTTCTCACCCCTCTCTGGTGAGGCACCAATTTGTGCTGTCTCAGTTATTCTCTGAGTCAAAGGGTTGTTTGTCCCTTATTTTGGCCCTGGGACTGTGGATTCATCTCAACTTTTTAATAAATAGATTAGAATCTGGATAACTACATCCAGAAAGGTCTTTGTTTTATCACTTTGTATCCTTTCTTCCTAAAGTACAAATAAACATCTTCTCCAGGATGAAGAAAACACTTGGATAGATTCCCTCTTTTCTCCCACATGTAGGCAACATTCTGAGTCTATCTCTTAAATCCAGAGGGACTCTCTCATTTTCTGCATGTCACATGACCACCTGAGCAAACATCTTCTCGTGATCTTCAACATGATGGATCTTGTCCTTCTGGTACCTCCTTAGGTTTCCCACCTGACACAAGGAGAAGTCTCTTGGAACTTTTCATTTAGAAAATGGATTTCATGCCCTTCTAAATTTCACAAAAATTTACTGCCGTTGAAAAAAAGGGGAGACTATAAAACAAAATTATAACAAATGGGTTTCTGGGGGTCTGACTGCACACCCAGTTGTGCGAGCAGTTTGGGATAGGTTCGGCGAGATCGAAGAAAAGACCCAGAGACAGCATACAAGACATATGCGTTTATTGGGACTTATGCACAGTGGGTGTCTAGGGCAGCTGGCTGGACGGAGTTAATAGCTACTGCAAGCAGAGAGGGGGTTGCTTAAGCAGGCAGGGGAACAAAGGCTACTTGCTTCCCAAGAGGGACTATCTTTGCATGACCAGCCTTCCAAAGACCAGTAGTTCACATGGAAGGGCTCTATGTTCCTTCATGACATGCTATTCTTGGAGCCGGTCCAGTGGTGCAGCAGTTAAGTTCACGCGTTCCGCTTCTTGGTGGCCAAGGGTTCACCGTTTCAGATCCCGGGTGTGGACAGGGCACCGCTCGGCAAAAGCCATGCTGTGGTAGGCGTCCCACATATAAAGTGGAGGAAGATGGGCATGGATGTCAGCTCAGGGCAAGTCTTCCTTGGCAAAAAGTGGAGGATTGGCAGTAGTTAGCTCTGGGCTAATCTTCCTCAAAAAAAAAAAAAAAGACATGCTATTCTTTGAGATAAACAGATCCAGGCTGGTCAGGCAGTGGGTTGTTACAAACGCCAGGTGGTTGGTGTCCTGCCAAGAGGGGGCGGAAGGGCCCACGATTACGACAGGGCACGCAGGCTAGTGTCCCTACACTGAGAATGTTCAGATCACTGTTTAAAAATAAAGACTTAAGTCTGGTCACAGACTTTCAGATACAAAAAGCAAATTTGTATTTCCATCACGTTAGTCTCAATTATGTCATGGTAATAAATAACCTCCCAACACTAATGGGTGACCTCAACAAAAGTCTATTTCTCACTCATCCTTCTGAGATTCAGGTTAATGGGATCATCATTATGTAAGACAGAGAATGCTCATTATAGTAAGAAAAGAACATTGGCCCAAAAAGATGGAGGATTCTGCTCAGAGATGGCACTCAGTGCTTCATTAAATCCAGTCATATTTCACTGGCTGAAAGAAATCACAAGGCAAAGACTGAAATCAGGAATTTGGAGAGCATAATCCCTTTGGAAGACACGTCCTGACTGGGGTGGTACCACAAAGATAGGCATGAAACAGTCGGTCCCTCTAAAATATATTGTGACATATATTTTGATTGATATACATAGATTGATAAATTCTTAGAATCAGACAACTTTCCAAAACTGAATCAAGAAGAAACAGAGATCCTGAATAATCTAATCACTAGTAAGGAGATGGAAACAGTAATCAAAAACCTCCTGAGCCAGCCCTGATGGTGTAGTGGTTAAATTTCAGCGCACTCTGCTTCAGCGGCCCAGGTTCAGTTCCTGGGTGCAGAACCACACCACTTGTCTGTCAGTAGCCATGGTGTGGTGGTGGCTCAAGTAGAAGAACCAGAAAAATTTATAACTATACACAACTGTGTACCAGGGCTTTGCAGGGTGAGGAGAGGAAGAAAAAAGGAGGAAGATCAGCAAGAAATGTTAGCTTAGGTAGAATCTTCCCCTAAAAAAACACCTCCCAAAAAAATAAAGTCCACAACCAAATGGCTTTCCCAGTGAATTCTACCAAACATTCAAAGAAGAGTTAATACCTATCCTTCTTAAACTCTTCCAAAACATTAAAGAGGAGGGGATGCTTCCTAACTCATTCTATGAGGCCAACATTACCCTGATACCAAAACCAGACAAGGACAACACAAAAACATAAAATTACAGGCCAATATCATGGATGAACATAGATGCAAAAATCCTCAACAAAATATTAGCAAATCAAATACAACAATACATTAAAAGGATCATAAATCATGATCAAGTGGGATTTATTCCAGGGATGCAAGGATGGTTCAACAACCATAAATCAATCAATGTGGTACACCACATTGACAAAATGAGGAATAAAAATCACATGATCATCTCCATAGATGCAGAGTAAGCATTTATGACAAAAAGTCTGAATAAAATGGGTCAAAAGGAAAGTACCTCGACATAATAAAGACCACAAACCCACAGCCAACATCATACTCAGTGGTGAAAAACTGAAAGCTATCCCTGTAAGAAGGAATAAGACAAGGATGACCACTCTTGCCACTTTTATTTAACATAGTATTTTAAGTCCTAGCCAGAGCAATAGGGCAGGAAAAAGAAATAAAAAGAATCCAAATTGGAAAGGAAGAAGTGAAACTGCCACTATTTGCAGATGACATGATTTTTTATATAGAAAACCCTAAAGAATCCACAAAGTACTATTAGAAATGATAAAGAGAGTAAAATTGCAGAGTACAAAATCAACATACAAAACCAGCTGCACTTCTATACACTAACAATGAAAAGCAGAATGGGAAATCAAGAATACAATCTCATTTATAATGGCAACAAAAAGAATAAAATATCTAGGAATAAATTTAACCAAAGAAGTGAAAGATCTATACACCAAAAATTGTAAAACATTGTTGAAAGAAATTGAAGACGACATATAGAAATGGAAAGATATTCTGTGCTCTTGGATTCAAAGAATTAATATAGTTAAAATGGCCATACTTTCTAAAGCAATCTACAGATTCAATGAAATCTCTATCAAAGTCCCAACAACATTTTTCATAGAAATAGAACAAAGAATCCTAAAATTTATACGGAACAACAAAAGTCCCCAAATAGCCAAAGCAATCCTGAGAAAAAAGAACAAAAGCTGAAGGTTTCACACACCCAGATTTGAAAACATCCTACAAAGCTATAGTAATCAAAACAGCATGGTACTGAAGCTGGGTACCTGAGACTAACTGTAAATATTCAATAAGAACAGGATGACCTTTCAATCTTGTTCCCATCCAGACATAGACGAAAAGAAGTTAATCTTGTTAATTTGCTGTTTTCTTGTTTAACCTGAGGGTGACTCAAGGGTCACAAAGATTTATGAGCTTGTTTTGCAGAAGAAAAAGAATGCCTTCAAGGAAGTTACAATCACCAGATAACCAGCCTCCATCTGCCATTGATGTCCAGAAGTCAGATTGCCCAGGGCCTTATCTGGAGTAAAAGAAACACAGATTATCCCTCTGTTTCTCTGAAACTCCTCCTGCCGAGCCCTTTAGCTTTATAAAACCCACTGCTTTCTTCTCTTATAAAGGTAGGTTTGAGAGAACCTATCCTCCTGACTTCTCATTTTGGCCAATTCAAATAAACCTCTCTCCATCTCCAAGCACTGTTGTCTCAGTGATTGGCTCACTGCACATCGGGCACACAAACTTGAGATTAAGAGGTTCGGCATCAGTACTGTCACAAAACATACACAAAGATAAATGGGACAGAATCAAGAGCCCAGAAATAAACCCATCCAACTATGGACAGCTAATTCTTGACAAAGGAGCCAAGAACATACAATGAAGAAAGGAAAAATCTCTTCAATAAACGGTGTTGGGGGACCGGCCCTGTGGCCGAGTGGTTAAGTTCGCACACTCCACTGTGGCAGCCCAGGGTTTCACCAGTTCAGATCCTGGGTGCGGACATGGCACTGCTTGTCAGGCCATGTTGAGGTGGCGTCCCACATGCCACAACTAGAAGGACCTGCAACTAAGATATAGAACTATGTCCAGAGGGGATTTGGGGAGATAAAGCAGAAAAATTAATAATAATAATAAATAAATGGTGTTGGGAAAACTGTACAGCCACATGCAAAAGAATGAAAGTAGACCATTATCTTTCACCATACACAAAAATTAACTCAACATGGATTAGAGGCTCAAATGTAAGACCTGAAACCATAAAACTCCTAGAAGAAAATATAGGCAGTATGCTGTTCAACATAGGCCTTAGCAGTATCTTTTTGTTTCTTTTGGGTTTTTTTAAGATTTTATTTGTTTCCTTTTTCTCCCCAAAGCCCCCCAGTACATAGTTGTATATTCTAGTTGTGGCATGTGGGACGCTGCCTCAGCGTGGTCTGATGAGCAGTGCCATATCCGCGCCCAGGATTCGAACCAAGGAAACACTGGGCCGTCTGCAGCAGAGTGCGCGAACTTAACCACTCGGCCACGGGGCCAGCCCCAGCAGTATCTTTTTGAATATCATGTCTCCTCAGGCAAGGGAAACAAAAGAAAAAATAAACAAATGGGACTACAGCAAACTAACAGGCTTCTGCACAGCAAAGGAAACTAGCAACAAAACAAAAAGACAACCTAACAACTGGGAGAAAATATCTGCAAATCACATATCTAATAAGGGGTTAATATGGAAAATACATAAAAAATTCATACAATTCAACAACAAAGAAACAAACCACCCAATTAAAAAATGGATAGACAATCTGAACATTTTTCCAAAGAAGATATACAGATGGCAAAGAGGCACATGAAAAGATGTTCAACATCACTAATTATTAGGGAACTGCAAATCAAAACCACAATGAGATATCACCTCATGCCCATCACAATGGTTATTACTAAAAAGACAAGAAATAACCAGTGTTGGAGATGATGTGGAGAAAAGGGAACCCTCATACACTGCTGGTGGGAATGTAAGTTTGTACAGCCACTATGGAAAATGGTATGGAGATTCCTCAAAAAATTTCCTCAAAAAATAAATATAGGAGAAGGGGCGGGGCAAAATGGCAGGGTGAGCTGACCTGGGATTCTCTTCCCTCCAAAATACAACAAAGGATTGGAAAAACTGAATTTCAGAGACTAAATCTAATGCCAACACGTTAGAGACCTACAATACCAAGAAGGCGGAGATCATAAACCCTACTTACGGCCTCGGAGGCGCTGGAACGGTAGGAGAGAACATCGCTCCCTCCCCTAGAGTCTGCGATGGCTGCGGCGTGGGTCAGGAAGGAGTGGGGGAGGGCCCGCACGGCCGGGGGATCATCCAGGACTCTTGCCGCTGGTTCAGTGGAAACCCGCTGACCAGGGGAAAGCTTCCGTCCGCGGGGACACCGTAAACCCAGGGCCTCGGGAGACCAGAGAACAGAACTGATCTGAATCCAGACTGGCACACGAGAATAGCACCCCTCCCTCCCGGCAAAGCCAGTGGGCGCAGCCATCTTGCCCAAAGGCGGAGAGCTCGTAACACGTGGCTCTCGACCCCCATCTAGTGGCGACAGGCTGTAACTGCAACCGAATTCTACCACCATGCGAAAAAACCGCTCCTCTACCATCCAGCAATTTATAAAAGCCCCAGACCAGAAGGAAAACAATAAAAACATAGAATTAAGTCCTGAGGACTTGGAATTAGGTAAACTAAGTGATAATGAGTTCAGAGCAGCTATAATCAAAAAACTCAATGAGGTAGAGAGAAAGATAGAGAAACAAGCCGAGTTCTGGAGTCATTTCACAAAAGAGATTGAAATCATAAAGAAAAATCAAACAAAATTACTAGCGATGAGAAACACAATAGACCAGATAAAACA